CACAACGCCTTATCGACGATGAAATTGATGAGGCCCCCTTTTCGCGTGAAAAACTTGTACTCGGTGATCGTCGAATACAAACATGGGGAAGATATCCTGTACGCAAGACAGAAAGGAGTCGCTCTAATTCTTTATCAAAGAAAAATATGTTCAAATATAATTGGCCAAAGGTATTTACACGTTTGCATGGTATTCAAGACAAAAAAATTCAACATTTTCAAAGTCTTCGGGAAAATAAGCAATATAGATGGGAACATCGTCTAATTTTGGTACAAGGAGAAAAAAATATCCTCGACTTAATAAAGAGAAATCATCCGACCAAAAGTTTAGTAGTGGCAGCTCCTAACAAGCCTAAAACCAAATATGAAATCCAGCCACCAGCTTTGGATTATCTTGAGAATCCTAATCGAATTGTTGCTGATAATTATTATCTTATGAACATTGATATGGTTCGAAAGATTTTAGGAAGTGGTGCAAAACCAGAACGTCATGAGCTTGTGGCCGAAGTTAATTTTCCTCCAATAGTATTTCCACCAAAAGAACAAATGACCAAATTTTTAGTGCTTGAAAAAGTGAATGATCCATATGATTTGGGAATGTTGGTTCGCTCTGCAAAAGCTTTGGGATGGAGTGGGTTATATTTGACCAACAAAAGTGGTGATGTTTATAATAGTTTTGCTCAAAAAGTTTCAAAGTCTCATTCTTTGACTTGGCCATATATATATGGATCTTCTGAAGAGTTGTGCAAATTTTTGTATGATAATGAGTTGAAGTTGCTTATTGCAGAGCCACCCAAACAGGAACTTCAAGCAATTTCTCAAGTGTTTTGTAAATCTAATAATAGAATCTCTACATGCACTGAAGAACTAGAACAGCATGATGATATAATAAAAACATCACTACTTTTTTGGAATAGTAATACATCTGACTTATCAGAATTAAAATTACCATCAAGAATTGCACTTTTATTAAGCAGAGAGCTTAAATCTGGAAGAAGAGATAATGAAAACTCAATATCAATTGAAAATGAAATGAGAGTTGGTATAAATGCACCGTTTATTGATGTTCCATCAGCTGGAAGTATAATAATGTGGGAGCTTAATCGAATAACTGCAAACTTATAAAATTTTTTTAATAAAATTATATTTTTTTAATAAATTAGCCCTATAAAAAAATAGTTACAAAAATAATAAAGAAAATTACAGATAATATACAGAATACAATATACATACAGAATAATAAGGTTATATAATAAATTAATACTGAATAAATATATTAAATAGATACGGAATTACTGTTGATACTTAATTAATATATTGAATAAATACGGAATTGCCGTTGCTACAGAATTAATACTTAATTAATATATTGAATAGATACAGAACTATCATTGTTACAGAATTAATACTTGATTAACATATTGAATAGATACGGAATTATTGTTGATATAGAATTAATACTTAATTAATATATTGAATAAATATGGAATTACCATTGACACAGAATTAATATTTAGAAATACTGTTGATACAGAATTAATATTTAATTAATATATTGAATAGATATAAAACACTGTTAATACAGAATTACTTAATTAATATATTGAATAGATATGGAAATACTGTTAATACAAAATTAATACTTAATTAATATATTAAATAGATATGGTGCCGGAAGCTTTAAATCTCCATAAAAAATAGCTTTACAAAAAATACTACTTCTCTTTTAAAAATTTATAA